GGGGGGGGGAGCATTAAGGCTGTAGAACTTTTCTGGGGCGAGCAGATTGGGTAAGCAAGAAAGCATCCGTTTAAGAAAATAAGTCCCAGACTTGATGGAATTATTTATGTGTTTCTATTGCATAACAGGTGCAATTAGTGGCCAAAAAGACAAAATAATATGGTACCTATTGGACCCTGCAGCTTCGAGATTGTGGGGTATTTGGTTTCAGAACAAGTAAATCTTGTCTTGGACAGAGACTTCTTCAGTAAACCAAACTTTGCGAGACATAAACGAGAATCTCTATTGAGACAAATTATGTACTTTTCTGTGAAATAAATCAGTCCGAACCACATTTCTTCCTCAGAACTGCAATTTAAAGCTTTATCTGATATTTTGGCCGTTTTGAGTTACAGTTACTATTATAAGACCATGGGATAAAAAAAACCAAGTGTTCTCTCTGCTCTATCAAAATCGTCAGATTTTTTGGAGTCGTTGTCAAGATATTCAAAGAATCGCATTCGAAAAAGCTTGACATGTGAGCCATGTTGTGAAACTCAAAAATAATGTTTGACGTCACATTTCTCAAAACTAGGTCGTGCTGAGCAGAAAGATCTTAGGAATTCTGAGGTAGCACTGTCTGCACCTTGAAAATTTCCCGACCATCTGGTGGGTGCTATTGCGAAATGAAGCTTGTTCTCGTCTTATGGAATATAAATGATAGGCTGTAGACCAGCGACCACTTTGGGGCTTGTTGGTCAAAGTTTAAAATTAAGGGAAAAAAACGAAACAAATATGTTACTTTCATAAGCGATTATTTAAGGTTAGATAATAGTATATATAACACAACAGCCTTGATCCCTAACACGAGCTGCCGTACCACCATCTTACAAACGAAAAAAAATTGAAAACAGTCAGAGATTATCCTCCTTTATTTAAAAATAGTCATTAACAGCCCTGTACCATTCCTTCAGATTAAAACGAAAAGTACCAGCATTCCTCCCCCACCCCCACGCCCCAGCCAAACTTTCGCACCAGTCAACGAAAATAGCTTTGCAACACTTCCCCACACTTCCCCATTTATATATATATAATCATATTGATTTCTCATGTAGAAGAAACGTTGACCGAGACACCCTTTGGGCGAGTACTTTTACTTAGTTTCGAATGGGCATTTTAGACACAGAAAGGAGAATAATATAGTGAGCCTTTATTTGAGAGCAGGACACAGAATTCTGTGGAGCTGGGGAGTTCGTCTCCTCTCTCGGCTTTTTGTATTTTCAAATGAGAACAACATCCTACTTGGCACAAAAAGATCGGGTTGCACTTTAGCTCGGTCGGTAATGAACTGACCTACGGGGCCGAAGACCCTTTGTTCGAATCCCTAAAGTGACGTTTTGAACTTGGATTATTTTGGGCGCAGTTTTCAATGCTCTCAACACTTTTGGCTTGGCCAAGCGGGGGTCTCTTGCCTCTTTACAACGCTGAAAGGTGTTATTAAATCTATACAATAACTAATGAATGGTATATAGATTTTGAAGTTATTTAAAACCCATGGTGAGAGTAAAGAAGAAATACTGAGGGGAAAAAGAGGGAAAAGAAAATTCCAGACCAAGAGCTATATAACTTCAATGCTGTTCGTGTACTCGGTGATGTGTTCATGGGTGTTCCACAATAGTATTGGCAAGGTGGCACTTCAATTGAGGGGGGGGGGAGGAGTTGTTGCTTTTTTGGATTTGTTTTGTGTGTGTGTGTGTGTGTGTGTGTGTGTGTGTGTGTGTGTGTGTGTGTGTTGCTGTTGCTGCTGCTGTTGTTGTTGTTGTTGTTGTTGTTGTTGTTGTTGTTGTTGTTGTTGTCGTTTTTTCAAGATTATTTAGGAGGCGGGTTTCGACCCTGCCTGTGAGGACCAACCCGGGCTGAGAGAGATACATACAACGTCCCAACAGAAAACCCGAGATACTCGAGGAAAATTCTTCCCAAATGGGAACTGAAATCTGATCTTCTGTGTCCGACTACGAATTTAGGCGCCTAACTGCTACGCTATAAACACCACCAGTCATTCCAGTCAAGCTGGGAACGACCATTCTGAAGTAGACAGAAATAATTACTCTAGGAGAAAATATCGAACGATAAAACAACATTTTTTTCTGTATTTTGTGTTTTACTGCCCTTGCAACTGCTTAAGGCCATATGAGCGCGCGGAGCAAACAAAACATTTTCAGGAATTAGGAAATTTTGAATTTTGCTTGGGTGACGGCCGAAGCCTACTCTTATTTATCGATATTGGGCCACCTAGCAATCTTTAACGTGCAAAACTTGACCAAAGGACCTCCGAGATTTGTCGCCCTTATCCGAGAAGGATAGATGTTCGATCTTACATATCCTCAGATCAGGGGTCTGGCTGAAAGAAAGCAATAAGAAGGAGCCAAGGAGTAGCAGCAGAAAGGCAGCAGAAAGAGCCAGGAGCCCAGAGGAGGGGGCAAAGGATGTGAAGGGGTGGGGGCCGAAAGTGGAGACGAAAGCAGACGATAGAACATTGTTAAAGAACAGGAAATGAGGTGAAAGGTGACAATTTTAGAGAAGAAAACTTTTCGTCGCGGTCCGGATTCGAACCCGGAACCTAAGGCGAACACCCTAACCTCTCGACCACGAGAGCCCCCAAACAACCTATGCTCACCCTGGGTTTTGTCATGTGTTTTCAGCTACGATACTCTATTTGGGCGAGGGAAGGGGAGGGTCCTTCATTAAACGTTTTTTTTTT